AATTGTAATATAGTACTTACTCATAAGTATATGCTATGCAATGGATAATTATTCGTATCATATTGCTTGATCATTTAAGACAATTGACTGGATCGTTTAAGTGGAATGCACTGCAGATTATGGAGAAATCTCGCTTTCCATACATACATATTGCATTTGTATGTAATCAATTCCTCATAACCATTGGCAAAGTAGATAGAATGGATAGATTGCGTTTTTTTAAAAACGAATTACCTGTTGCAAGCCTCGAAGGTGAAGTAGGAAAAGATAGGTTGCTGCATTAACATTTTACAAATATTTTATCAAACAAGTTATGATAGTTGTGTCTTAATTTTCTTAAATTGGAACAAGCTTAGAAAAATGAAATAACACTTTGTACATTTTATGAGTCCGAAGTACTATCATTGATTCACCCTCTTCAGCAACGTTAAAAGCCTAATTTTTATTGGAACTGTTTTAGGCTGTATTAGAATTGATATAACTAAAGAGCGTTAAAATCAAATAGTAATATCCGTTTAAGGGAGCTGAAAGCTACGTTTCTTATTAATTTCTGCATTCAAAAACGGTCAATCTGAAGCGTAAAGTTGCCAATTAGAAGTCTAAAGGGTACTTACATAATAAATGGAAAAGGTGAAGGAAAATAAAAAGATTGCTTACCTTTGATTGTGCAATACCAGTTTATTGAAGAAGCGAATTGATAAAAAAAAACGTTTCTAACATTCACATAAATTGTCTAATATGAAATTGTAAATATGCTGACACTTTATATGCAGAAAAAAGATGTTTTCAGAAATGAAAAATATGTTTTGTTAATAAAATACCAACTTTAAAACATATTGTTCAAATACAATCAAAAATTAAGTCTTAATATATAGTCAATAGTAAGTTAAAAGCAAAGGTTTATGTCCCTGTAAAATTAGAAGTGTCGTGTTTTTTCTGATGTTCATAACTACACAAATGCTTTAAATTCTAACATAGATGCAGTACTTTAAAATATATGATAGCAGTATTTTTTTAATGTCCCTATTAGTAATATTTTTTTGTAATTAAGCAGATTTACGGTCACTGTTAAACGCACAATGTTTTTGTTAGCATCTTTTCAACAGGAAAATTCTTTGATATTCAATAAGAACTATTTTTTCTAGTCAACAAGTTTTTCAATGTTGATAATAAATACATTATAATTGTGAAAGCAACTGATTAATTGTATTTTAGACCTGACTGAACAAAGACTGTATTGGATGAATTACGATGGTGACATAAAATCAGTTAATGTGGATGGTTCTGATGTTGGAACAATCATATCAACTAATTCTCCTGCTAATTACTACTATGCTATAGGTGTATTGGATAGTTACATTTACTATGCTAATAACAATCAGTTAGCAATGCGGAAAAAAGCACAATGATCCCCTGCCACGGTTCTATATACTGACACCAACACCATTTATGGCATACACGTGGTGTTAAATTCAACAGGTATGTTAATAAACTTGAAATAAGACTTACAACAATAAGCAACGTCAGAAATTGACGCATGCATGTCTTTTGAGTTAACACTTTTTGATGACGATATACATGATAAACTCGACAAATAATACAAAAATATAAAAGGGACAGTATATTCAATAGAAAAAAAACAAAATCAAAAAGTGAAAGAAATGACATGCACACCAGAACAGTTAAAAGTATAAACAACAGTTATGAAAACATCGAACAAGACGATCCCCTGAAAAAAAAAAGAAGAACATATTGTCCGAATGATTTGTTTGATGATGTACTTGCGTTACCCTTAAAATAAGTAGATAAAGGCCGATACATTATTATGGAAAGGGAAATCTTATTTAAGTAAAGTATTTTAATCTTCAAAGATGTACAAATCGTCGATTAGTTATATCCAGTATAAGTAATGTGGAATACACGGCTATTACAGCCACCAACCAAAATACACGAAAAGGCTAGTTAAACAAACTTAACAATCGCAAATTCGTTGTGAGATATTATATGTGTTTTCATTTTATGAGACTGCAATATAGTCAAGTAAGTATATTACAAATAACTTTTTGTATCAATATGTTGATGCATTTTGATACATGTTGTAATGATAGCTTTAGCTTTCCTATATATATATATACATTTTTTACTAGTTTATTGTCAATTGCTTTTTGCTTTGTTATGTTTTTCATTATTATCAAAATTTGTATTAATATTACTGTATTTGATTTTGTATTATCACTTAACCTTATATAGCTATTGATTTAACGACTATCTAATATTCTTTAACAATTTAACGTTAATAACAACCATTATATGTATTTAAAATCACTAATTTTATGTCTGCATTATAGTATTTTTATTGACAATAACGTTGTTTTACACTTTGACTTATATTTATATTAGATAAATATAATATATAGTTTGATAAATACTATAGTATATATCAATAAGGTCAACCAGCTATATAAACGATAAAAGACGTTTAAACATCATTAAGATACTTAAATAAAATACCAGTGTGTAAGTGTTATTAATATAAAAAAAAACGGCATAAAAGCTACTGTATCACTACTATTATTCAATATTGATTATGTTTAAAAACAAATAATGTTTCAAAGATGTTTTTTTTTCAAATTTGCCAAGTAGTTATTATTTCTTTTATTCTTTTGTTTTGAAGTTAAAAGTAAAGTGACCTAAACCAAACAAATGAAAAATTTAAATACACATAATTTGGTAAGATATGCAATGGTTTTATGTTATTTTAATATATCTCATCGATGTGTGAATGAACCAACGTCAATACAGGAAAGACCCTGAAGAAGACAAATCACTTTGGATGACGGAACTTATCATCGGTAAACTGTAAACATTAATTGCATTGTGCTAAAAAGGTTTGACATATAATCTGATTAGTTTATTCTACGTATGTAAGCAAACGATATAATATTAACTGTGCACATGTACCTTTATCCATACACTCAGTGGCAAAAATATAACGTAGAAAATAAAACAAATATAAATATAATAATAATTGAAATGACGCATGTGTAAGTGACAGACAGGACACTTCCACTATATAAATAAATTAAGGTTTTAACTCTCTCAGGCAAAGTTGACCTTAGATTAATTTGGCTATTTTTTTAGGTATATTTTTGTCATATAGCCTTTCAAATGTTTCGGTAATTACACATTCTCGGCGCTTCGGACGCATGATCTTATTTAGTGTGTTGTTCTCATTTTTACAACACTGGGTCGATATCTCTGATGGTGGACTTTCAGTCCCAGAGGGTATCATCAGCTCAGTAGTCAGTACTTCGGTACTGACATGATTCATAACAAACCTTTTTAAAAATGTCCGCTTTTAAATTTTGAAATTAGAAAGAAACTAAGGTTTCAACTCCTTCATGCAAAGTTGATCTTAGAATTGATTTGGCTATTTTTTAGGTATATTTTTTTGTCATAAAGCTCTTCAAATGATTCGGCACTTATACATTCTCGGCTTTCATATATTCGGCTTCGAGCGTTCCTGATGAAGGTGAATCCAGAAAAGTGCTTCGAACGCATGATCTCATTTAACGTGTTGTACTAATTTTCCCCCCAGATATTAACAGAAGCATATACACGTATATATATCATTGAAAAAAAAAAACTTTGTAAAATATCTTTTAAACTAGTAGTTGTAGTTCAAGTCATCTGAATAGTTATAATGGCATCTGTGAAATGCTTATTACATCAGGCATTACAGCAGCAATGCTGCAATCAACAGTAATATGTGGCAACAGTTCAAATGCTTATTTACATACACATTTCATGAGATATAGAAAAAAAAACACCCATAAATTTAGTTAATTTATATTTTAAAGCTAGCATTTATAAAGACCTATAATAACTGCATCAGATATACTTTTAAATGTCATAAAGCAATATTTTTCTTCTTAATGTAGTGTACGTAAATATCACACATCCATGGTTCAAATACGATTTTCAGCGTTGAGAAACTATTTATAAAATATAAAATGCAAAGACCTTTATAACAGGTAGGTATGGTTTCAGGAACCGTATCGAAAAGAAAAAAAGCTATTCATAATTTCACATTCAATTAAATAAGAATTTAATATAAGAATATCATTTATTAGCATGAATTGCTGTTTAAATGATGACATCAATATGCATCAATACTGTTGTGTCGTCTCGTGAATATATCATTATAAACACAAAGATTTGTGCTATATTAAACATTTTAGGAATTTTCATTTAAAGGAAGATACAAATTGTATTACCCGTAAATTTTATAACCTTGAAATTGCATTAGCATTATAAAGTAGACAGACATGCAGCACACTTCACAAATAACTAATAAAAATTTAATACATCACGAAGGTTGAAAACTATATGCGATATATTTTATCAGTCATTTCAAATAGTTTACTACACGATTTATGCGTTCAAAGTACACATGCTCTTTATAAATCAGGCCGCATTCCGATCAACAATCTTTGTATATTGCTTTACAGCTAATATTGCCTGACTACATAGTTGTCGTTTATACAATAAAATACATGTATATACAGTTTCAATCTTGTTAAAATATACCAAAAGCTCCATAAAGTCGCACGTATAGTGTTTCCTTACCAGAAAAGTTATCTTGCTTCCAAGTGTATTAAATATTTAGATTCATATCGTTTTTTTTTTTTTAGCTTTCACAATTTGACAAAATATAAAAGGCAGATAATCACACAAAAGATTCAAAGTGTGAATTAAGAAATATAAGAGCTACATGAACTATGTGCAAATAAAAATAAAACAACAGTGCCTAATATGTTGAGAAATATGCTTTTTTAGAGGTTAAAAAAACTTTGTTCAATTCGTTCTCAATTCGGAAATTAAAACGCAAATGTGACCCTAAAAAAAAGGGTGGAGGGGATTTGATACCTGGATGTTTGAAATCATGAACTTGTACCAATCTTATTCTCATTTGATTCATCTTAATTTTCCAGAATAAAAAAACTTCTATAATAGGGAGTAAGATTGACAACGACAAAAGTAATACTCTGAGGAAAAAAGTGAGCCATGCTGAATTATATTAATTTGCTGAAAGAAAAACAAAACGGAAAACATTGACGGCATCCATTTATAATCAACGTTTTAAAGGTAAGTCCCTTATCATAAAACGAAGTAGTTCTCAGAGTACAAATTACAAAATAATGCTTCGTTGATGAAAGTAATGAAATTCACGTAAAATATATGTAATAGCAGATTCCAAACCAAATTAATTGCTGCAGCATCATTTTTTTACGCCTAAATATAATGGAAAAATCACAACTATTACACACAATTATAATATCGAACTTCGAAAAAACGACAGAAAATTCAGAGGAAACGAAAATAGAGCAACATTAAAACACAGATACTGTAGAGAATATTTCTTTTTTTAAACAAAGTCATCGTCAAAATTCTTCGACGTAGATGCATAGCAAACTAACGCACTAGAAACAGCCGTCTTAACCAATATTATTCAAAACCTGCCAACTCCTCATCATATAATGAAGCTTTATCATTTTCTTCTTGTTAGTTTCAGCAACAACCTAAACCACATCACTTCTTCAATCAATATATAATATCGACGTAGTGGCATTTAAGTCTGTTTTTCCTGTTGCCTAGTTGTCGAATACTTCTTCATTAAACTTCAACCATATGCAAACTCCAATTGCTAACGCAGTCACCTTAAATATCAGACAGCACAGCCGCAGATAATGTATATCACAGCAACACCGATAGTCATAGAAGAAGGCCAACCCGACACAATACAAGATCTTGTCAACCACTTGACTGTAGAATAGTGATATAATATATAACAATGGCCTCTGACCATCGACTTCTCGATGTCAGTGTCTCCTTTGGTGGTTTAACTTTTGTCTTTTTATTCTGATCATCTTTCATATTCGTTCATTGATTCGTCATACATTCCATTCCTTTTAAATGGCATGCGGCAAAATCTCAAACAACAATGCAAGGAAACAAAGACTTATCAATTAACTGATGCGTTTTGAATGCCAAACAAACTAATATCCTGAAATTAGAAACGTTACTTACTAGTTTTTTGAAAAAAACCAGTGGCAAGGGGTAAAAAAGACGATAATAAGCAAGCAAAGTACCATAAAAGTTTGCCAAAACAGTCTGCCAACTGTACTGGTAGTACGACTTGTTACAGCTGTTGCACATTGGGTGTAACTATTTTGTATAAAGTTTAGTCCTCAATTTAGAAAATAGTTTAAATATCTGCAGATGCCACTTTTTAAGTCGTTACAATGATTAACTGTTTTTATTGATTGTTTAAAATTAATTGTTTACCGTCATTAAATCAAAAGTATTAATAGATTATTTTTCCAAAATGTCAACGGCAAATTCATACCAGTATTTTTATTTTGAACAATTAATTTTCCATGATTTTGTTTACTTGGAAAGTTAAACAGTAAAGAATTGGTGTAAATAAAATCTCTCTAAAGAAACAAGATTTCTTTTTTTTTTTTTTTTGTTTACCAGATGCGCGTTTTGTCTATGCAAGAGTCATTAGTGCCACTTGAATCAGTTTAGAAGACAAATCAAAGACAAAGTTGACATCTGATAATTTGCACTAACATGAAGAACACGACGGCTGCCACAGGTGGAAGATAATCTGTTTACCCGTCCGGAGCACCTGAGATCAGCCCACTTTTTTAGTCAGCTAGGGTTTCTCATTCCTTCTTTTTTATATTGCGTATTGTAGACTGTTGGGTTTTTTGTGTCGTTTTTGTAGTTTATCATTGTGTTGTCAACTATTATTCGACTTATGAATTTAAAAGTTCTTTTGTAAAGTATATAGTAATTATCATATTTAATTAGAATTTTGTGAAATATGCAAACGATCACAACATTGATAAATTTTGACATACAATGTATTCGTTTATGGAACATATTTAATGCAAACAAGCTCACCAAAACTGAGTTTCTTATTGACAACATATTTGTTGCATTTGAAGGTAGACGTTTTCAACAAACTATCGGCATTCCTATTCGAACGAACTGTGCGCCTCTCCTTGTCGACCTTTTCCTATTTTCATATGAACCGGAATTTCGTCAGACATTTGTCACAAACAAGAAGATCAAAGTAACCAGATCATTTATTATTTTACATTCAAATATATTGATGATGTTCTTTACATTAACAATCCAAATGTTTTTGATTAGGTTCCATAAATATATCCCCCAGAACTAGAAATTAAAGAAACAACAGACACGGCTTCCTCCGCTCATGTTCAGACTTTTAACTCAAATTTTACATTAGCGATCATCTCAGTTCCAAAATCAATGACAAACGAGACGATATTAATTTTAAAATAAATAATATCCCCACCTCAGCAGCAATATACAAAATTCACCTGCATATGGGATATACGTTTCCCAACTCATCAAGGGCTTGCAGGTGCCAGTAAGACTTTGTAAAACGTTACCAGTGTCTGAGCAGAAAGTTGATGAATCAGGGTTATGTCAAAGAACGTCTCGTGCATTTTCTAAAAAAAGTTCATCAGAAGATACCAAGACATTGTTGATAAATATTCCGTATCAACTTCACAAATAATGCATGAAGGGACCTGTTGTGCAGTGGTATTCGTTTGTTGACGTGGTTCATACGTGTTTTTCGTTTCTCGGTTTATATATAGATTAGAACGTTGGTTTTCCTGTTTGAATGTTTTACATTAGTCATTTTGCGGTCCTTTATAGCTTGTTGTTCGGTGTGAGCCAATGCTTCGTGTTGAAAGCCGTACTTTGACCTATAATTGTTTACTTTTTTGTTTGACTTCGATGGAAAGTTGTTTTAATTGGCACTCATACTACTTCTTCTTATTTCTTTGAAGGTCTTGAAGTATAGCTTTTAGGGAATGGGCGTTGTTTATTATGTAAATAAGGTGTTATAGTGTTCTCTAATTTGTATTTGTAAATTATAAACCTTTACAGTTTAGTCCATTTCCACGCAATATCCTTTTGGCGTGGCTCGGTACTTATACATCCCGCCATTGCGTTATTGCGTTATTGTGCTATGGCCATTTTTTTTTTGTATTTTTGTGTTTCATTTTTTATTATGTGCTATGTTTATATGCCCTTTTGTTTTTGTTTTTATTTTTGCTATGTCTATATGACCTTTTGTTTTGTTTTTTTTTTTTGCTATGCCTATATGCCCTTTTGTTTGTTTTTTTTTTGTTAACATATGTTTTATAATTACACATTATAATGTTGATTATCTGAAATCTCATTTTCAAACATACAATTTTGAGAGCAGTAAAATAGATTCCAGATTGATCCATTGAAAGAGACACTTTGTTTTTTTTATTTTAAAATTGCAGAGAAGAACATTATATCATCCCCAGTTTTTGGTGGGGTTCGTGTTGCATAGTCTTTAGTTTTCTATGTTGTGTCATCTGTACTATTAATTGTCTATTTGTCTTTTTTTTTTGGCCATAGCGTTTTCAGTTTGTATTCGATCTATGAGTTTGACTGTACCTCTGGTATCTTTCGTCCCTCTTTTATGCAAGACATGATATAATAACATATATTCATGTATATAATGTTAGAAATACAGCATACTAATCATGAACACAATTCAGCTTTCCCGAAACTTGCGAAAGAATGTATGAGATAAAAGCAAAACATTGGGATTGGAATACATTTGAACAGGCAGGTCTTTACAAAAATACTACACAAAGTTGAAATTCAGTCATCCAACATGATAGACAAACCATTGATATAAGATAAACTCATCATAGATACCAGGATTAAATTTTGTATTTACGCCAGACGAGCGTTTCGCCTACAAAAGATTAACTGTTACGTGTGGAATAAGACATGTAATAGTATCTAATTGCAAACATTTGGTATGGTCTTTCAGATAAACTTATAATCATTTATTTGATATTTTCTTAAAAATGCACGAACTCTTTATTACTGGACACACACACATTTCAATGATTTGGTTCGTTGAGGCATAGATTATTGAACATGTACACTTAATGGTCCATACACCTTCAAAATTGACTTCAACCGTAATTTTAAGCGATAGTTGACATTTGAAGACAACGGAAATAAAATATTTGGGGACATTGATTCAAAATTATCTTTTTAAAGTAAATAATTCAAACTTTCATATGCTTGAATCCCCCCAAACCGTGATTTAAGCAAAACCAGGTGGGAGAGCAATACTCTTATCATTCTCTGGATTTTAATTGTGGAAGAATTTGTATTTTGTTCTCTAGCGGAGAATTTTTATAATGAGTTTTAGTTGTTCGGTTGGCGGGCGACTCCAGCTGTCGTCGTGCAATGGCATAAGATCTACTCAACCAATACTTTCAAATATCTTTCTTTTTTTGGTATTGACGAATTTCGCTTTTTGTCGTCAAGTTATGGCCGTCGATTGATTACGAAATTGCACTATCTGTCCAGAGAACATAGTTATTTCGTAATGCATTTCTTTTAGTCAATAGATTAAAATTTAAAAAGATTTAGAAAATCGAATCAGCGCTTTCTCAAAAATATTTTTATAGTGTGATGTACTACTTTTTTGTACATATTATATTAAAATTATAGAAAACTTCAGCAGCTCTAAAACAAAATATGTATTTATTCAGACAAGATCTACAATTCAGTCAAAAATAGTAGAAATCGTTTGACGATTCTTTATTTGAGTTATTGCCCTTTAACGACGGTTTCTACTTTTTTATGTATGTGTGCCTACTATCTTAAAAACTGTATTTAATGGATAGAAACTTAAATAAGGAAACATGACCACCAAGACTAGAATAACAAAGAAAAGATTTTTGTCATGAAGTCTATTCTAGTCCACAAAGATGGAAAGTGTCAATTGTTGACGATGAACATAGACCTAGGTGACCAACACAGGCTCTTTAGAGCATCTAGTTTTTATAACATGCTTAGGTTATTTTGTGCATTTAAAAAAATAAAAGTACGTTCATTTGGTCATGGTCTAGTCAAGTTTAAGTAAATATGCCTTTGTGTTCCATTTAATTGATTAATTCAACAACACTTATATTATCTTAATGATATTTCTTTTCGTAAAATAATCACGATATAATTAAACGTATTGGCGAAATGTACCTAACAAACTTACTTGAAATAAATCAAATATTAAACTCAATAACTGTCCTTTCTTAGATTTATATATTGCAGTTTTACATTGGAAACTCTACCAAAATAAAAGTTACGACAAAAGGGACGATTTTTCATTCCGTATTGTTAATTTTCACTTTTTTAAACGGTGATGTTCCTTTGACACCGTCTTACGATGTTTATATAACCCAAATCGTTCGATATGTCCATTTCTGTAGTGTCATTTTCAGATATTAATAAAATACGTATTACTGGTAAATTATTTAGTCACCACAAATTACTTAAAAGCTTTACTAAATTATTCCATTGATACAAATGTGGTTTGGAAGTTTGACTGTAGAATACTTATCTAAAACGGTATAGCCCATCCTAATTTGTACGGCGATCCCTGAAATTTAGATACTATCCGAGTAAACCAACCAATCCTTTTGATAAACTCAATATAAGAGGTTACCAATTAAACACTGTAATTAGATTTTTAAATATTGTTTCTACTGTTATTTATATTCATTTTAATCAGTAAATTAAAATCATGCTGCATATAATTGCTGCTACACGTATATGAACATTCACACTTCTGCATTATGTCGATTCCTATATTGTGACATTGCGCAATGTCATGTTTGTTCTCTGACTGTCAATGACGTGTACTAATTGCTATTTAAGTCTTTGATACATATTTTTTTTTACAAGTTGTTATTGGCTATGAACTAGTTACTGTAACTGCGATTACTCTCAGATCTGTACTTTGTGTCTTTTTTGTTGTGGGGGATTTAACAATTTCCTGCCAAGTCCGGTCAGGATTTTTGTGAGTTGTATTTCTAATCTCAGTATCTATCTGACGAAGCCATTGAAGCCATTTTCAATTGATTGACATAGTTTTTTTATTAGTTGTACTGTAGCACCACTGTCTTAGAAGGAGGGTTTGTCATTTCTGAGTCTTTTACAGCTTACCTTGCGGTATGAGTTTTGCTTATTGTTGAAGGCCATACGGTGATCTTTAGTTTTTAACTTCTACGTTAATTGGTCTCTTTTTTTGAGAGTTGTCTCCCGGGCACTCATACCACATCTTCTAGTTTTAATTTGCCTATACTTTGGTTTCCTTTACCATGTATATGGTTATAAGCTCTTAATATTTTTTTGGAAGTTCGGATTTTCAAATATGTTGGCTTCAAGCATTACTGAACGGACATTTATTGTCAAAATGCGAATCTCGTGCAGTAAAATTGGTACCGTTAATGTTATTACATCAAATTATGATTATATGACATATTGAAAATGAATGTACGTAGCAAAGAAACAACTTTGTATTTGTGGAGATTATGTCAATAGATATAATATAGTTTCTCATAAATA